GTTGTGAAACACGCAAGTCTTCGGGAGCTAGTTTGGAAATCTGTGTGAAAATGTCGGTCAGCATGTCGGAGTGTGTGTCGAATATGCGCAGGGGATCCATCGCGGTCTGTACACGAAGAGGGCGACGAACCTGTGAGCAACCATGGCTAAGCACCGTGTGAGAAACCATGTTGCGCGTGCAACTCAAAGAGTGCGAACAACAAAAGTGCAAATGAACAAAACGGTTCAAGGCTCGCACTGTTTTCGTCCATCCAGAAGTCAACATCTAGGGAGAAAAGCAAAATAACCAAAGGCATGTTGGCGCTCATCACTGCAGAACCCGATGGTTCGCGTCAAGCGAAGGTTAGAGCGTATGCCACCAAAATGCAGCGATACAGCTCATGATCCTTCATGTTCACTGCACGGGATACCGGCAATCCGAATTCCGCGGCGCGGTCTTTGAGGTTTGACCTCTGTTCCGGGCTTAAATCCTTGGCGGAATCGGCAGAGCAGGTCATGGCATCTTTGAACGCCGAGGCGACACCATCCGGAAGGCGTAGGTTCTTAAGCCACTTGGTGACGACCGCGGGGGTGTGACCATTGGGGGCCGACTGGTGCAATGTGCGGTTTGCCACAACATAGTCCATGTGGAACGGACGTTGGGAGTCAAAACCATCAAGGTCGGAGACAACCGCCGCAGGGGCACCCTCAACAGTTCTACGCTTCTTGCTGGGGGGGGCCGCCACAGGTAATGAGTTGGGCGCATCCTTACCGGCTTCAGTAGAAGCAATCTGCATTTCCAACTTTTTGATGGTTTCCTGGGCCTTGATGAGATCAGTGGTCACTTGACTGCGTAGGGGGGCGACCAATTCTTTGGCAACGAAGGCCAACAGCTCGGCGCGGGCCTCTTGGGAATTGAGGGCAAGGGCCTGCGTGGGATGGGAGTTCTGCCAAAGGTTCTGGGCGAGGGTGTCAATATCCATGCCAAGGGATCGAAGTTCTTGCATCAGCTTTTCGCATAAAACGGTTTCCTTGATCGATCTGCCAAATATGACCGACACAAAGTCGCCGGCTGCGAGCCAACGCAATGACACGTTCTCGATGCCTTTATAGCATAAGAGGGACACTGGAACCTGCAAGGGGTCCAAACCAGCAAGGTTGTTGCGGCGGCTCCACGCCGTTTCCACCACTTTGTTGGGGAGGGTGCGCCCAAATATCGGCTTGGTGTCATGATGGTGGGCGTCCGTGGTCCACGAACCCGGAAAACTGGTAGGAGCGCCGCTGGGCTTTCCCGAGGGGCTGTACTTAAGGTCGGGGTTCCGCATGGGAGTCCTCTTATCCGGGGTGGCTGGGCCGTGGGAGTCGGGCGAAGGCTTGTGTTCCCAAGAATCCTGCCATGACTTGTTGGGCCATTTTCCCGATGAAACAGGTTGACTGGCATCCTGCCAACCAGGGTTCCACGAAGAAGAATTCCATTGATCGTCTTGCCATGTAGTGCGGGACTTCCACGAGCGGTGGTCCCAAGACTTGTCAGACGAGACGGGCTTACTCCAGCTCATTGGGGCAATCAACAACGGGCCGTTCCGGGGGAATCAAAACAGCTGCAAGGGATCAAGCAGTGTTCAATTCGGTCCCAGAGGCAATGCGAGAAAGGTCATCAAAAGGTAATGACAATGCACGGTTGAGAAGCGGACTTTTTTCGAGATGCGAAGTCAAGTGGGGTGAGACTTGTCTGAGCCGGATTCGCACTCAAAACCGCACCTTGATTGGGAATAACAGATTTAACAAGTGGGCCCTCACCCGGCGAGGATGTTCAGCATTTCGGGGCCTGTCGCCTGTCCCCAGGATCCCCACTGCTGATCCTCCTTTACTGTAACGACAAATAAATCTGTCAAGCAAGCTGCCGACTCCCTAATACACCATCGCTTGTCTTTACTAGCGGAGTGGACAATCTCGTACCTTCGTGCGAGTTCTTGTTCCCGCCACGTGTCCGCAGACGTGGGCTTAGTGGATTTCCCTCGGCACCCGCCAGAGAAAACTAGGCCGCTCGCGTTCTTGGTATGATATGCGCATTGCCCAGCAAATGCAGCCAATTCGGCCGCGGTACCGCCCGCAAGGTGGGCCCTCGCAAAAAAGCCATAGCAGTCATGAGTGTCAGGCATGTTGAGTCCTTCACGTGTGCTCCTCATGACTTTGCCCGTTTTCAAAATTCCGATAGCCGACAAAAGGGTGGTGCCATGGTACCAGCGAACGTGAGTGTCGCCCGTGGCTTGAATGGACACAGGACCTGGCATGTCACTGAATGACAGTCTCCAAATGATGGTCTCTTCGGAATCAATCCAAGCAGGAATTGGTGTGCGGATGCGGCGTTGGTAATCAATACCGCTGGCGGTCAGTGCGATCACTAAATTCTGCATGACCGCGGGGGACTGCGGGAACTCCGTAAGGGTGAAGTCCAAATGACACATCACCCAATTTAAACATTCGACAAATGGCGGAGCGGCGCAAAAGCGAGTGAGGGCCACCTCTGGCTGGAGCCATTCGGTGCGGCCTGCAGCTGTCGCAGTTTGATGCGGAGGTGGAATCCGAAATTCGGACCCCCGGGTTTGCTCCTCTAAGGCGCTGTACAAGTCTCGGGTGGTCAACTTGGCGAGGGCTGTACTTGTTGTCAAAGCATCGGTGCGTCCTCCTGAAGCATCGTTGGCCGATGTCTTACGGAGGCGGCTATTGGACGGAGTGTCATCTCGAGGATGCTGATCCTGAGATGCTGTCGCCTGTACACTGGCCGGAGGAGCAAGCGCGAGAGAGACCGTGCGTGGAGAGGCAGCTGCTCCGGGGTAGGGAGGCGGCGTTTCAGCCCGGGCATCCATCAAATTGGGGACTGCCTGACACGGTCCATGCGGGCCTCGAGAGTCTGGATTGCCAGATGTCTGGCGTGTTGGTCGTGCCGGCGGGTGCGCAGGCTCCGCTGGTCTCGAATTTGCATGCACGGGCGGAGGTGTTCGAGGCGGCGGACCGGGCTGAATTCTCGGACATGGTACAGGAGGTGGGCGGTGACTGCACATTGGCGGCCACGGAGTCTGCTGATAGGGTGATACACCCAGACCAGGCGGAGGCAGAGGCGGAGGAGCTTCGTAATGCGGTCCTGGCATCGGCGGTGCAGGGCAGCTGCTTGAAAAGTTCAAGGCCGCTGAGGACTGCGCGTGCGAAGCGAGCGGAGCAGGAATCACAGGTGGTGCAACTTGTCCGAAAGTTGCCGGACTAGGCTGTACAGGTGGCCAAGGTTGCACCAGGTGGTAACGATGCGTGTCCCCTGTTCGGGGATTCTGCGGTGCGGGCTGACTCTGCTGGCTCGGCTGACTCGGCTGACTTGGCCGGCTCGGCGTGGGATCGTAGGGATCCGACATCGGAGGGCGAGGAAACAGTGAAACATTTCCGGGTGGTCCTGCGGGTCTATCTTGGCTCCAGCGGGGATCCAGACGGACTTCCGAATTAGTGCGCTCGGGTCGTCTGCGACAGTCTCTGTGGGTCTTGCGACCTCTGGATCGGGAGCGGGACCTGCGTGGTGTCCGCCTGCGGTGCCTGCGCTGTCGAGATCTCGATCTTCGGGATCTCGACTTCTGTCGCTGGGAAGCTGGGGTCAAGGTGACCGCTCGGGCAGGCTGGGGGTCAGTCGGATTAGCATCCGGCAGGACATGCATGCGGATAGTCCCCGAATTAGGACGAGGCGGAGGCACTGGATGCGAGTGGTGCATCGGTTCCATGTTTCCGTAGAAATGGAACGAGTAGTGCGACATGTCGAATTGCACAGCGGTAGCAAACCTTGTATATGGTTCGTACAGGGAGCCAAATAGCTGCGGATCTGAAATCAGGTCAGAGTCATGGAGGGCCTTGGTGAGGCTCAAACTCTCGTGCACTTATTGGCTAATTGATTCGTCCGTAGGAGCTGTTCGTCGAAAGTCATTCGTTGTAAACTTTTCGTTGTAAACTTTTCGTTGTAAACCGAAAGGAATGATTCCAGATGAGTGCCTGCAACGCAGGCAGGATGAGATGCAGTAATGATGGGGTAAACTGGCCTGTCAAGTAGGCCACGACCATACGTTGTAAACAGCGATCGTTCCCGTGTAAACGTGCCAGAAAGGCTCCACCATATCAACGGCTCTTGTCTAGTGAGATAAACAGGGTTCTCTAGCAGGCAAGCTGCTAGGACTGCGCACTTTGACAGAAAGCACAGCCAGACACACTGGGAATGCCACGTCGGCAGTCAAACACCAAACGTTCAAACACGTAAACATGAGATGAAATGTTGCAAGTTAGCACTGAACCGTGCAAAGTCAGTGGCCTTAAGGGCGATTGTTAGGGGTGAGCCCTCCAGCTGCCCGCGACGGGACCCAGGAGCAGCTCTCAGGCAGGTACGTTTCACGAAAAGTATGTGGGGTCTTCGTTGGCAGCCGCCCACATACTCTTCCGGCTGCCCCCTGCCGGCATGCACGAATTGCACGGATTTGACAAATCGGGGTACATACACGAACGTAGCTGAAAGCTTCTTGGTCTGGGGCAACCGCCGCAAACCTCTGTGCGTCAGGCGAATGCGTCCACTGATGTCCGCTGTGAACCGATAGGTCAGTAACGCCGTTCACGACAAACGTAGCTGAAAGCCACCTGGTCTGGGGCAACCGCCGCAAACCCGTTCACTGCTGGCGTGCATGAATTCCACGGATTTTGACAAACCTGGTTCTGCAGGTGGTTTGTACTGCAAAAAGACGAGACAACCAAATGAAGTGAGCTGCAACTCTCAGCGTTGGATGTCAGGATTGCTCCCGTTCGACCCATTCTCGCAAGGGGTAACTTGGCTTCTAGAAGGGGAAAGCAAAAGGACTGTCTACCACTGTTTACCCTTGTGGCAGGGAGCACGCCTGTCACCCTCATACTCCATGGAAAGAATGATGCCAGATTTGAAGATACACAGTGCCTAAATATTCATAAATGGAGCTTCTAGGGTAACCTCTTCTTCCACGCGCCTGAGATGTTGTCCACGCTGGGCTCTTTCAGCGGACCTTGGCAAAGGCCATGCGCACAAATGAACGCGAGTTCTTGCAGCCACCTGGGTCTGTCTCATAGGGGAACTCTCAACATGGGGATTCAATTTGATGTCCAGAACCAGCCCCCAAAAGAGTACCCTCAAAAGAAGACACACCCATCTGCACAAGTCTCAGATCCAGGCAAGAGAGAATCGGCGAAAACTTTAACTAGGCTTTACATCATGTCTTGGTGATGCTTTTGGGGCAAAGATCCAAGTCCAATGGGGATTCAAAGAACAGAAACCATCGTCTACCAGCACCCCCCCAACAACTGCTTTCTCAACCATGTCCAAAATCCGAATCGACCAAAAAGCAGTGGTTGGGGGGTGCTGGTAGGGAGTAATCAACCCCTGATATTAAAATGGTCAAACCGAAAGCATGTATTTCAAGAATGAAGAGGGCGGCCGCACCGATTTCTTCTGGCTGGGACTATCCCTTACTATCCCTCGCAAGGATTCTGATTGTGGCTCAAGGGGAAGCTCGATTTACTCCCGTGTGTGTGTGAGTTCATGGGCGATGCGAATCCCCTGCCATACCCAGGTTGGGCCAAATGATAACACTTCTGCAACTGAACATGGCACCCCAAAAGGGGGTTTTGAGATTCCTATAGTTTCATCCTAATCTGTTTGGGAATGATTCCACGAATTACAAGGTGGACAAATCCTGGCGGAGCTAAGTACAGTCTGAAAATTGCTCTTCAAAAAACCAAAGAAACACACCTGGCACCGCCCAATATCTCGTATTAGGGCGCTTTAGTCGAAAGCTGGCCAATGAAAAGCAAGAGGACCAAATACCAATGTGCCGCTTTGGTCAATGTCCCAGCCATGGGGAAAAAAAAAGGCAAACCTTGTGGGTCGTCGACTTTGAAGGGCAAGCCGCAAGGAGAAACCCAGCACTGGGTTGGGCAAAACACCCTGAGCCAAGGGTCGTGGTCAATTTGTTTGCAGGTTCAACGGAGTCATTTGAGTTTGTTTCTTTGTTCCCCAACAGCTGAAAGCTTTGGGGTCTCAGCCCCGATAGGCTCCGGGGTGGTCCGGGGCGGCCCTGAGGTATGGTTCCACGAGGGTTCCACGAGGGTTCCACCAGGGTTCCACGAGGTTCTGTGAGGGCTACAGGGTGATGCGAGATGATGCGAGCACTAAAACGAGCACCGCATGCTGTTGGGGATATCACCTGAGCCTATTTAGGAACCCTAGGGGTGGTATTCCACAAAAACAAAACACCACCTAAACAGGTTATATACCTTTAAACAAACAAGCAACAACTGTTGGTGTCCAACTCTTTCCGGACCTTCCTCTGAGGCTCCGTACGCCGCTTTCGCTTCACAACACCTGCAAAATCGCGTTCGACAAAAGAAACTCCCAGAGCCTTGCGAGTGGACCCGGCCAAAAGTTAACACGCAGGCTGAAGGAAAACGTCAAACTGAACTTGGGGCAGCAAATGCAACAATTCAGCAGCGCCCGAAACCAATTAATTGTGGTTCTACCAAGACGGTCACAAAGGATTGATTATTAGCCCTTATAATCACCCCATCCGAAACCAGTTAGTAGAACCACCTATCACAATCGCCAAGAGGAATCGGTTTTGGGCACTCATCAATCACTGATTTTACGGGGACAACAAAGGTGTATACATGCTCTGCAAGCACATTGACTTGCATGCCTCGACATGGCGTGCTTTTGCACAAGCTGAACGAGAACCGATAGACATCACGCCAGAGTGTTGGTCTCTGAAACCTAACCGAGCTTTTACCCGTGTGCTTTGGTCTTTAGAGGCTCCGAGCCACCCTTGCGCCTCCCGAAGGTTTGTCCACATCCGCGCTGGGTTTGGCTTTAACACCTCACACCAAGTGTGTTTCCACTCATGCCCTTGGCTCTGGCAGTCTTGGATGACATAAACTTCCTACACCCAACTTGGGACATCGTGACTTGGTCATTTTGCAGGGGATTCTCGGAGTATCTCTGAATTGCCCTAACATGTTTAACAACCATGAGCTTCACGCAGTGAATCATGCTAAAAAGGCAACATGATGCTGTGCACCCATTGGCGAAGCACGAGCAAATTTGCACACGCTGCTTATGACAATGCCCGTGCAACTTGATACATAAACAGCAAGTCTTGGCCCTGATGAACCCACAACGCGTCACAAAGCACTGCTACATCTGAAAGCACATCAGCCTCGCCCAAGACCACTCTTCGAAGTCTTACGTCGACGCTCCGTTCTCGTCTTCGCTGGCTCATCTGGGCCTACGAAGCCGGCTGGACCAACTATGCCGTCCCCATGCGCCGCGCATCGGCTAGACAAGCTTGACGCTTCTTCAGGTGTCAGTCTTCAACTAGCTCAGGCCAAACATGCAACTGCGTCGGAAAGCTGCATTACATTCATCAAGCCAGCTGTCCTATGAGTCCATGTGGCACTGTCGCACATGTCACTTTCACAACGGCTGCGCCTGCAGACTTCTTAGCTGGGTTGGCCACATCCGCGCTCGCCAGAGCTTTCAGCTGGCCTCAAGCGATTCTGCTGGGTCTGTTAAAGTGACATTTTCGGAATTCCTCTCTACACGGCACCTGTAGCATAAAAGGACCCCCCCCAAATCCGTTTTGAGAATCCTAAAGATGAAACTTCAAGGGACCCGGCTCACCCTGAATTCACACAGCGAAGTCACGCCTTGGAAGTCCATCTGTGTCAAATCTCGGATACGGAAAAGGGCCCCCCTGTTCTTTTTAAACCACCCATACGCTGTTTGGAAAAATCTGCCCAGACACCAAGCGTCAAAGGGTCATGGAACGGACAGTAGCAGCTGATGGGTGGAAGAAAAAAGGGTCACTACTAAAGATGCGGAAGCTTCTCGTTCTCAGAGGGAAAGGAGGTGCACACTTGTGGTGGTGTCGACGCTGAAGCGGACAGATTCTAGCATGTCACATGCTTGCACCTTTGCGCCTCTACCGATTCAGAACCACAGCACACGAAGACATGGATGGGTAGGTCATGATCCTGAGTGGTCCTCGGTGACTCAATGTAAACCTGAAGCCTTCAACGCACTGCAATGGCCGAAGGCAACATTCATGTACAGCCCTAAAACGCTTGGGCCCTGAAAAAGGGAATGTTTGAGGTCCAAACCCCTCCAATGGAGATGAAGAAGATACAACGACGCTTAGGGAAATACATGCCCTAACACCTTGCATGTGCGGGCTAGCACGGGCATTGCCAATAAACGCCACAAACAACGCTATGGTAGAAACTGGGCTGTCCTCAGATCCCGGCTTAAAGTATAACTTCTGGCTTTGTCATGGCAACCCCACTACACCAACTACAAAGATCTAACAAGCTACGATTCCGGATGGCTGGGATCTACCAACATCGTTCGCAGATGAGACATCCGCGCCTTCAGATCCTTGCGGTTTCTCCACATCCAAGCCGGCCATAGCCTTCAACTGGCCTCACAAATCCGGCGACTTGATCCCAAGAACTACCCAAATTGTGATGCCCCAATTTGGGGTTTTGCACCAAGGGTTTCTTGGGAGCACATGCAGCTGGGAAGTGGGGAGGGAAAGACTCTTCTTGATTGGTTTGACATCCCATATCTTTCCCAGTCGCCAAGATACTAAATCCATGCCTGTGCTCCCTTTGAGGATGTACCTAGAACTCCTTCACACTAAAGTGGTTGACGCCTGCCCTGTGACTACTTGGTCGTCGTTTTAGAGAAAATACCCCGCCACTCGCAGAATGCGACGACCTAACGCTCGATTTCGCAACAATTCATGTAATCCTTGGCCATTGCTTCCGGTTAGCACTGTGGTTGGCAACCAGGGAAAACCACCTTGTAAAAACTAGAGGCAAAACACCGTGGTTACCTACCACAGTGGCAACTCGAAGCACTGGGCTTGTTGCACAAGTTTCATGAGCGTCTGCATGCCACACATCTGATGGGTATCAAGGCCGGGCCGTTCTGCGTTTGAGGTCGTCGAACTGCTGCTGTTCATGTATTCCTTGTTAATGGCTTTGAATAGCCAACAAGAGCCATCGGGCCGCAATGGCTCCCCTTGCTATGGCAATGGAAACCGGAAGCTTTGAACGCACTGCAATGACCGAAGGCAACATTAATGTGCAGTCCGAAGAATCTTGGGCCCTGAAAAAGGGAATGTTTGAGGTCCAAACCCCTCCAGTCACAATGACCTCTCCAATGGAAGGTACAATGACGCTTAGGGAAATACATGCCCTAACACCTTGCATGTGCGGGCTAGCACGGGCATTGCCAAACGCAACAAACAACACTATGGTAGAAACTGGGCTGTCCTCAGATCCCGGCTCAAAGTATAACTTCTGGCTTTGTCATGGCAACCCCACTACACCAACTACAAAGATCTAACAAGCTATGATTCCGGATGGCTGGGATCTACCAACATCGTTCGCAGATGAGACATCCGCGCCTTCAGATCCTTGCGGTTTCTCCACATCCAAGCCGGCCATAGCCTTCAACTGGCCTCACAAATCCGGCGACTTGATCCCAAGAACTACCCAAATTGTGATGCCCCAATTTGGGGTTTTGCACCAAGGGTTTCTTGGGAACACATGCAGCTGGGAAGTGGGGAGGGAAAGACTCTTATTGATTGGTTTGACATCCCATATCTTTCCCAGTCGCCAAGAGTGCTCCCTTTGAGGATGGACCCAGAACTCCTTCACACTAAAGTGGTTGACGCCTACCCCGTGACTACTTGGTCGTCGTTTTAGAGAAATCTCCTCCAAGCCACTCGCAGAATACGACGACCTAACGCTCGATTTCGCACACTTAATGGAATCCTTGGCCAGTGTTTCCGGTTGGCACTGTGGTAGGCAACCAGGTAAAACCATCTTGTAACAACTGGAGGCAAAACACCGTGGTTACCTACCACAGTGGCAACTCGAAGCACTGGGCTTGTCGCTCAAGTTTCATAAGCGCCTGCATGCCATTTGACTGATGGGTATCAGGGCTGGGCCGTTCTGAGTTCGAGGTCGTCGAACTGCTGCTGTTCATGTGTTCCTTCTTTTCATGCAGACGCTAGCTTGTTGTTAGTGGCTCTCAATAGCCACCAAGAGCCATCGGGCCGCAATGGCTCCCCTTGCTATGGCAATGGAAACCGGAAGCTTTGAACGCACTGCAATGACCGAAGGCAACATTCATGTACAGCCCGAAGAATCTTGGGCCCTGAAAAGGGAATGTTTGAGGTCCACACCCCTCCAATGGAGATAACCTCTCCAATGGAAGATACAATGATGCTTAGGGAAATACATGCCCTAACACCTTGCATGTGCGGGCTAGCATGGGCATTGCCAAACGCCACCAAACAACACTATGGTAGAAACTGGGCTGTCCTCAGATCCCCTGCTCAAAGTATAACTTCTGGGTTTGTCATGAAAACCCCACTACACCAACTACAAAGATCTACCAAGCTACGAAACCGGATGGCGGGGAGCTACCAACATCGTTCGCAAATGACACATCCGCGCCTTCAGAACCTTGCGGTTTCTCCACATCCAAGCCGGCCATAGCCTTCAACTGGCCTCACAATCCGGCGATCCCAAGAACTACCCAAAATGTGATGCCCCAATTTGGGGGTTTGCAACAAGGCTTTCTTGGGAACACATGCAGCTGGGAAGTGGGGAGGGAAAGACTCTTATTGATTGGTTTGACTTTCCATCGTTCCCAAGAAGCACTGGCTTTGTCGTTCAAGTTTCACGAGCGTCCTCATCCCAAGTCGGGTATTTAGGCTGGGCCGTTCTGAGTTCGAGGTGGTCGAACTGCTGCTGTTCATGCCATTGTAATTTGGGCCAGACCTCACGTGTCAACTCACTGGGCCACCAGTTTTCCCAATCCCAAGTTGCTTGGAACAAGGAAGCCCATGTTTGTGTGCAGCCCCCTCTGAACACAGACTTGAACAGAACCTCAAGAAAGAAGCTTCCGCCAAGATAGCGGGGTTCCTTTCCAGTTTGCCGTCCCAAAGAAGCTGGGAATAAAAGGTTAACCTTTTTGGGGGCATGGCTACAAATAGACCAAACAATTGGGAACCAAAAGATCAACATGGGGTTGGCTTTGTACAATAGGCAACACAACCAGCTTTCTATGGGAAGGAAGGCCCCTTCATATTATCGCCAGAACACCTAAGAGGGTAGATGCAGACAAAAAACATGGCAGCTGGCCTATCCCTTAAAACGCCAAGAGATATACAATAGACACAGTGCCACCCTTAGGGGTCACATGTCGCACCCAAACATTTTTCCAGGTAGTGAATATGTAATGCGCAGTGTAAAATGGACGTTGCAGCTCTCAGATAGGATACTACGTTTAAATTCAATATAACAGTCCATGAACCCTTGCTGGATGCGCAATGGTTCAAATTCAAAACGAAACCCTAAGGGAAGCATTGCTTTTAGGCCGTGCTCCAAGGATCCGAGCAAGCCTTGGCCTGCATCTGAGGTACGCAGAACATCATATTATCACATCCTGATTTGGTCTACCCGATATAAACTATGTTTGCCTAAAGTATAAAATACTTGGTTGCTGCTGACCCCGCTGCAAAAGTCTAATTTTCTGTTGATCCACTGAAAAATCCATCATTCCCAAAAAGTTAAAGTCCAAAGATCCAACCACATAGCCACAAAGAATAGTTGTGTCTACCCTACAAGATAGACATTTTGGAGGAGACTCCAAAAACAAATGGTCAGGGACCACCAGCTGCCAAGTGGCCAGTGAAGGCCCGTGGGCATGGGTCGGAAGTGTCCAGGCAGTACCTGTTGAGCTCAGAACTTTTATGCTTTTTAGGGGGTCTGGATAAATCGAAAAAGCACAAGGAAACAGTTATTTCAGCTGGGCTACGGAAAAATCGAAGAATTACCCATCCACTTTCGGTTTCCCTCTGGGAAAAGTGCAAGTTGTAAATGTATGGGCCATTTAGCACCCAAACATGAACCTGCTGTTGCAAAGATTAACATAGATCCGAAAATGGCGCCATTCTCATAGAAGTCCATGAAGGCAGGCCCTGACCCGCGCAAGCGCAACAATCATGGGGCCAATCAAAGAAGTAAACTTGAGAATCGCCATCAAACATCTGAAGGACATCGCACCTGCGAGCGATTCGAGCCCGAGAGCAGGACACAGGACTCAAATCTCGATTTGAGTCCTTGCTCGCGCTTTCGGGAAGTCCAAACAGGACTCAAATCTCGATCAAGCTGTTTTCAGAGTTTTCGGGGCCCGAAAGCAGGAAACGGGAGCGCCACACGCGACTAGGCCATGAAACAACTCTTTTGTTCTAGAATCATCTGCTTGAAGTATCATGATTCTCGGACCTGACATTGGCATGTGCCAAAGTTGGAAGACTAGAAACTGCCTGGATTTCCCTTCTTGGGTTTTCCGTCTCCAGCCCTACTCAAACCCAAACTTTCATTTGCTTGTTCGCCCCTTGGACAAATGAGAAAATACTTCCAGTAGTGAAATCGATTCCTGTTGAGGCCAACAGGGGAAATTAAGAAACACAGATCATGTCAGCAAAGTTGAGTCACAATCAAAACCCGGTATTGGTTGACCCAGAACCATGCAAGGAAATACAAAGGCTGCCGCAGCTATTTCTGGCTGGGATTGTCCCTTACTAACCTTTCTCTCCCCGGGTTTTGAGCACGTGCCTCAAATGGTCTAACGACCCAAACTTGCTGATGCTCAGGGTATGAGAGAATGAACCCAGTCCCCTTGAACTCTGGGTTTGAGCACGTGGCTCAATTGGACAAATGCTGCAGACCCTTCAATTGCCCAAAGGAAAAAGGGCACCAGAGCTGCTAGAGAAGCAACCGGCTGTGGCTCAGCCAAAGGTACCACAATGGCAGCTTGGTAAATAGAACCAAAGGTTAAACCCTGCGAAAGACAAGCTACATTTTAAGCCACACCCAAATGGAAGCAAAGTTAGACGCCCAGCTAAAAGTGACTAACTTTTAGTGGGTTAAATGGAAACTACCACTAAAAACTAAAAAGCTAAATCAAAAAGGCTAAGGAACCGGATGGTTGGGAGCCACCAAGAGAAGCAAAGTCAGACGGACCCGGCAGCCTCCGCCAGGCGCTGCGGAGTGCCCGGCGCCAGCAGCGCCGGTCCGCCAGGAACTCGGAGGCCACGTCGGCGCCGCAGCGTGTGACCTAAGGACCGAGCCCACGGGCCGGCCGCTGCTGTTGTTGCTGGTTTCCTCTTTTTTGCAAAAACAACTACTGGGCGTCTTTTCCTTTTCGCTTTTGGTGATGCTTTATTGTACCTGGTGTTTTGCGAAAGACTGATGGGATTCTATACGAGCATCCCCCAACCACTGCTTTTTTTGGACAGTACTTGCACGATTTTGCCCTGTCATATCCGTGCCACTGGCCAGGAAGGAGCTGAACCCTCGTGGGGTCAGCTGCTTCCCTCGGGTTTTTTCGCTGGCTTCCCGCAAAGGAGGTGCACCATCCATGGACCTCATGAAAGGAGCAGAATTGGGGTAGGAGAATGGTAGCAACCAGGACGGCCAGCATGAAACATTTGATTCTCTGCCAAATAGGTCATGATATGTCATGATAAACCATTCACTGTCGACATGCCTTGCCACAGCCGTTGCCAGAATCTTTGCTTCTTCATTTCGCAAAAAGCTAAGTCCCATCTTTTCAAGAGGATCACTGTGCGGGGGTACACTGGGTTGGCATTTGGATTGATGGGATTCGAAGCCCTCACCCCGGAAGACCAGTCCAAACCACCCTTGTAGAAGCAAAGCTGATTTTAGGTTCCATGTTTAGCGTGGGGTACGCTCCCACACACGGAACCTGGACCGCGTCGTGGATATGAATGCGTCAGCGGGAGGGTGGCTCCTTCAATTCACATCTACAAAGAGCAGTCAACAGCTAGAACACTTTTAGGGACATGAAGGTCAGTCATTGTGAACCTCAAGGAGCTGGTTGGGAAAACCAAAGGACAGGAAACAGGGCGGGCAAGGACGACTTGGGATCAGCTCCGACTCGAGCTTCCACCCAGTAAGGGACCTGCAAGCTCATGAAGGCAAAGCAACCGTCGTATTTTCCTGGGCTGGAATGAGGACCCAGCAAAAACTTATCTGTTTTGTCTGGTTAGTGGAAAACAAAGGGGACCCCAAACAAGCAAACAAGTAAAAAGGGGAACTAATTCTTGGGAAGTTTCCAAGACAAATTGCAGCAAAAGCGGCCACAAAGCAGTCTCCTGGAAGGTCCTTGATGCTGAAGAGTTGTGGATGAGCCGCCAGGAACCTTGGCCAAATATTGCATAGGCAAGCGACACGAGAAACACGCCTCAAATTCGAAACGGGAAAACACACAGGCGCCAAAACAAGTATCGCATAGTCGAGGCAAACCATTTTTGAGGGCTCGACAGGTCATGCCACAAGATGGTAGCTCTTTATCTGCGTGCCACTCTCGCCTAAGCTCTGTGTTTCACTCAACTCGAATTGAGAATGTGCTTCAACCATGGGGTACAGTTCCTGTGCCATTGGTCGTTTTGTTCAGAGGACATCGCCAGCAAACTTTGCCAGCGTTGGCCATGGACTCATGGACTGCCATGCCGGTGCTCAAACAAACCATAGATCCCACAGGTGCCCAGTGGCCGTTTGGTCAAGGGAAGCTTTCCAAGAGAAACCCATTGAACTCGAATTTGAGACCCTTCGCTTCTGGAGAGACAACTCGACTTGAACTCGATCTGCGCTGAACTGGAAGCCCTTAGATGGGTTTCAGACTTCTGGTTCGCAGCGCAGGTTGGTTCTTCGGGTGGGGTGTATACAGCCACCATTCTGAAGGGGTCTCAAGAACAAACTGATCATGTAGACATCAAAACGAAGGTTGTTCAACACGGAGGACAGCCCTAGGCATGGTCTATCCTGCGGAACGCTGGCAGCTCCGACCCCTTTGGACATCCTTTTAAAGGCCCGGCCCGCCCGTGAAATCCCGTCATAAGTCTTTGGGCTGGCCAGTTTTGAAAGGAAACGGCAGGCAACCATTTTGTTTAAACTCCATTTGCTTTGAGTCCTCAAAAAAAACAACAGTGATAGATGCCAGCAGTGCTAGGTTCCCTTGAAACCCACAGCGGAAAACAACAAGATATGCTTCCTAAGCAAATGGATGTTTTGGGCCCCTACTTTGAGCCCAACCCTATGGGGAAATGCTACCAGCTACCGGCCTCCGGTAGGTGCCCAACTCCTTCTTGAAGAGTCGGTGCCATGAAGAGGGGCATTCCGAAAGCGCGCCTGCGCGGTGAAAACCGAAAACCGACTCTTTGGCCCGTTTCTTGTGGGTCTTCTTTTGGGAGTGAAAGGGCCATTCTGGTAGGTGGTGGTTCTTTTAAGGGGCCGACCCCCGTTCTTAGAGAAAGAAGGCCAGAGTCGCTCAAAGAAATTTAAAGGAGGACCTTGCTGTTAACCACGTGCTTTCCGGCGGCGGGAAAGCACAAACCAGATTGAACTGGCCGTGCTTCGCGCAAATGGCAGAAAGTCATGGCTCGGTGAAAGACGAGCAGGAGGAGCAGGAGGAGGAGCAGGAGGAGGAGGAGGTGGAAAACAAAGCAACGTGTGATGATTAGACAAGTTGCAAAGATGATAGAGATGATAGAGATGATAGAGATGATGATGATGATGATGATGATGATGATGATGATGATGATGATGATGATGATGATGATGATGATGATGATGATGAAGATGATGATGAAGATGATGATGATGAGGAGTAGGATGATGAGGATGATGAGGATGATGAGGATGATGAGGATGATGAGGATGAGGAGGAGGAGGAAAAGGAGACAAATGATGAGGAAGAGAAGTATGAGGATGAGGATGCTTTCACCAAGAGCATTTGCGCTGTGTCTATGTGCTATGTCTGTTCAGGGACTCTGTCACTGCGCCTCCATCCGATTTGCGCCATGGCGCCTGATCGGATGCCGAATGGAGAAGGCGGTGGTCTTGGAGCTGATGGGCAGGTTGCCTGCTTTGATTCTTGGGCAGCTACGCCCCCCCCAAATCTACATGTGTCGCACATCTTGTGAAAGTTGAAGCTCTGTCGCGGGGTCTGGCACAGTGGTGCGCTCGGGGCCCGGAGAAAGTTGTAGCTTGCGATGCACACGCCAAGGACTCCTCAGAGATCCGCGTTGCAGAAGTCGGGCTGGCTCACCTCCGGCTCACGGTGCCTTGCACAGCGCCCCATTGAGAAGTCCCGCGGGTCATGGGCATTGAGTCTCACCCAAGTCCCGCGGGGCCCGTCTCAAGATTCCATCCACTTCAAGTGATGGAGACCGGAGATCAGGCCCCTTGATCAGGCCCCTTCCGTGAAGGCAGTGAGCAAATCGGCACGCAGCTCAAGGTGGACAAAGGCCAAAGGCCCGCCCTTGCAAATGCGGTCTCCAAGTTTTTGGCCCATATTTAGTTACCTGTTTGCATATTAGCTCCTTGGATGCATGCGATGTCATGTGTTTTGTCATTCTTACCGGGAGCGAAAGCCGAATGCGATACTTTTCGGCGAAGCTCGCCGGCAGACGATTGCAAGTGACCCGCGACACATCGCTCTTGCAGTTTAAAGGAGTCTGCTGGTGCTCCATTTGCATTGATTAAGCTCGGATTCTTGCATCCCCCAGAGCTGGAAACCCCCAAATGGGTCCATTTGTGGCTTGACAAAGTGGGTCGATCAGATAGGGGCAAAAGAAGAAGAATAGACAAGCTCAAGTATACTGAGTAGATTGGCGCAAAAATATCCAAGGTTGTTGTTTGCCACTCAACCAGCATTCCCCAAGAGTAACTAAAGCCACTTTAGCTGAAAGAGGGAGCGTTTTTGTCGCCTCGATTTTCTGTGATTTCAAGGAGAAACCCAAGAGAAAGGAGTAGAGAGCGAGCGGGGGGTTCCTCTCAAACACAGGTGGGATAGTATACACATGTGTTTCTTGTTAGAAAAAGCGGGCCTGAGCTTCTGTGGGTACCCTTGGGACCCGTTCTTTCCCAGGGACACCAAGGCCGACAATCCCTCAACCAAAAAGGCAAGTGTATGTAGCGGGCAATGTACTCGCCGAAAGGTGTCCCCTTCCAGAGGGAATGACTCCAAAAAACCAAAGATTCCCGATGTACTCCCCCATGGTTCATTCCCACCCGGACTCGTTAAGGATTCACACCCGGAATGAGAAACCCCAAGGAAACCCATTTTCTATAGTTTCCTTTGAGGGAATCCCACGCGGTCCCAACACCCTTCCCTACTGTGGGTGGACGAAATCCTGCACCACTATCACACCATGGGCAACCATGGTTAGTTGGTATTTACAGGGGAATCATCAGACATCAGGGTTTGCTAGGTAGTGCAGGATTGTGTCCATCCACAGTATCACAGCAAGTCATTGAGGACCCCAGAGGGGCCTTCCTCATCGATTGCCGCCAGCAGCCGCTGCGCCGCGTCCCGGGCAAGTGGCGCGCCTCAACAAACAAAAGAAAGAAAAAACAAAAACACTAAAAAACGGCAGAAGAAGCGCAGCACCCCCCCAAACGGTTTTTCCCATGACTTGTCTTTTTTTTCTTTTTTGTGTGTGTTTTTCTTTTGGGGGGGAATGTGTCTTATGTGTCTTTATGTTTCGTCTTTTTTGTTTTGTTTTTTGGGGGGGTGGGGATTGGCCTCATCGATGCAGCTGACCAGCAGTTGTCCGCATTCCAACTTGTTCCCATGTCCAAAATCCCCAGGTACTGCAACCTAAAAGCAGTGATTGGGAGGTGAGACGTGAGGACTTCCATGGGAACACACATGGGGGCGACCATTTTTTAGGGGTTGACCCGTTGAATTCGGCTGCTACCCATGCATGATTGTCCCTTCAAGCGGGCACCCGTTTAGCAGAACCCAGTTCGGGTCTCCAAACTGACTTTTGGGTACCTGTGCTTTTTTGGGCGGAGCATGTGCCAGTGTCATATGTGCCAGAGTATTCAGATTTGGTCAGACTAAGATCTATGTACAGTGATGTAGACTCCTAGAATGGCTGTTCCGTAGGTGCCGGTTCAATACCCTTTGAAAGGGACCCACATTTACCAGACAAAAAGCACAGGAAGGACCATCCGATGTTGCCACATTTGAGGGAAACAAGTGGAGCAAAGCCCATTTCACCGATTGCCGGCAGGTTTGACAAGCATATTTGCACAAATATATATATATATATATATGTATACACATTATATATACATAAGGTTTTATCCAACAGGCATATATGGTGCGATATACGTGTATATATATATATATACATGTATCTCAGGTTTACTATCCACAGTGTGCTCCGCAAATAGCGATAGAGTTCAATGCAACCACATCCAAGTGGCGGACTTCATGTGATTAATTGATGTCCCGTCAACACGAACCAAGGTGTCCATCGGGTGTTCGACAGACCCAAATGGCTGGCTCCCGTTTTCCCTCAAAACGTCGGCCCGATGAGGGCGACCCAAATGAGCAGCGCCCAACACCGCTGTTGACCTTTGCAGTTCATTTAAGTTGGGTGGTTCTTGGGTGGTACACGGAATTGCACCCCTCACAATCACCACCCCAAAGAGAAAAGCTGCAGCAGGGCACAAAACTCGTGCTTCTGTTCAGTGTTTAAAGGGAAACCGTCTTTCAAACAGAAGTGCTTGCTAGGGCAAAGGGTCCTGTAATTTCACTGCAGCAGGTCGGTGGGAGTCGCTAGTTTGGTACTGGATTAGAATCGGCCTGCATGCATGTTGTTATGCTTGTTGCCTTTATTGTTGGAGGGACACCGCGTATTTGGGGGCAAGATGTTCTGGTTTCAATGGGGTTGTAGTATCGCCAATAAAATAAAACGTGATTTTGTTGACCTTGGCATACCTTAACATAGCCAAGTGGTGATTTGATAGAGGTTAACATGATATGGGAAGCCAAACATGGTAAATTAAAGACTCATGTCCGCAACGAACACTGACCATACGCATGTTTCAAACATCTGGACCCGCTACCCTCCCCCAAACACCAACGTAACTGGAAGCGTTGAAAAGGGCTCCTGCAAGCTTACATGATCTGAGTCTCGCAACGTGACATCCTCCAAACAAACCTATCTTTCGGGAACTTGAGGACAAAACCAGCGCTGATGGACATTGCCTCAGCAGAACGCCCCTACAGCGCAGAAGGACAGTCAAGGAAGAACCCTAAAAACCAATCTATCTTAACGGTGGTTGAACGGGAATTCCGACTCTTTGTGTGAACTGGAGCCTGGCAAGTGTCTTCCCCAGCATGGCGGGATGTGGCAACAAAACGGAAACCATCCCCAACAGACCTAGAGATTTGAGAGCCTTTAAGTTCTATCTAGCCAGTTTAATGTATGCCCAGCCTGGCAGCGGGAGGGTGGTGGTAACGAGGCCGCTTGGGTCTTTCCGCTTCCTGGCAGTCTGTGAATGGCGCCACGGCTGTTTGCGGAGACAAGAAAACCAGAGGACCCCTGGCTCTAGTTGCACTGGCATTTTGCCTTTCCACTTGGATTTGCACTATAGATCCGGGCGACATGCAATGCGCGAAACAAATCGGTCGCTCCCAAACCGCATGGAACGTAAACCTCGAACTCTAGTCAGGGCCTTGAGCCTTGCCCCTCCGGTGGATTTCGCGACCGACGTCTATCCGTGTGCACGACGGTTTCGACCAACCTCGAAAGTGGTCCATTCGAACACGCGGGGACAGTTGTGTGCAGAGCAGGGGGGGACTGTTAGTGAAGGCGCCCCAGCCCTGCACTTGATTCTGGAGTTGCTGAGACCCTGCAAGGAAGTAATCGGCCGCAAGGCCGCATGCGAAAGGTTCCCACTTTGGGTTGGTACGTGGGACCCAACAAATTGCCGTTTGTTGGAAGCCCTTGGGCAGCTCCCCTGACAGCAACTGCGACAATCACCTGCATCGTGTCACGTCCAACGAACTTCAACGTCCCAAATCCATGGCCTTTTCGGGTTGAGCTTCCTTGTCCTTCTCTGCGTAGCGGGATGTGACACACCTGAAGTCGAACAAGCGAGCCATCGAATCTTACGCATATCCTGAACAGCCTGGTTCCAATACAATGTCCTTTCAACTCGAATCAAGGTATCCAGCTGGTTTTCGACAGATCCAAGTGGCCTTCTTCCATTTGGTGTCCGTAGGTCTTAGACCTGTAAGTCACCGTGGCGCGTTTGACACATTCGGACAGGCTTCCACGCAAAAATACATGGCTGATGTGTTGGCGGCCGTAGCAGTGTCATGTGGCTGGCAACACCTGTTCTTGCAAGCAGCAATGCTATTCAGGGATATGAACAACACTGGAAGCAGCTTAAACACTTTCAACACAACTTAGGAGCACCAGCACACAGCACGGCAACAAGTCAGCAGGCGTCTCTTGCCTTCAGGGGCTTGACATGCCAAGACCTTGCCGAATGAAAGGTAAAGGAATCTGCCAGGTTCACCGTTTAGAGACGTGCAAGAGTGCAGCAGCACCTATCATTACAACGCCTCCGAAAGGCAGACGCCTTTCGGAGGCCTTAGAGCCGGAATCCAGATTCGGTGCGGCAGCAATGCACGGCTTTCCACAAGGACGAAGAGGACTACACCGGACGCTGGCCTCAACAGGCAAGGGCAGACTTGGGCAGGAGCGCTGCGCTTGGGGTGGCTGACAGGCGAAAATCGCCACGGATGTGGAGCCAGCAATGGCGACCGCGGGCATGCTCGGGTCAAGGCGTGGTGTGGTGATAAGTGTCACAGATATCAAAGCATCTATGTGGGTGTGTCTTTTTCCAGGGGACTCCCCAAAAGCGGTGGTTCTCCTTTTCGATTCCAAATTCAAGCCACGAAAAAGGGGTCCTGCAAGCTTACATGTTCTGAGTCTCGTAAAGTGATATCCTCCAAACAGATCGATCGTTCGAGAACTTGAGGACAAAAACAAGCGCTGATGGACACTGCCTCAGCAGAACGCCCCTACAGCGCAGAAGGACAGCCCAGGAAGAACCCTAAAAACCAATCTATCTTAACGGTGGTTTGAGGGGAATTCCGACTCTTCGTGTGAACTGGAGCCGGGCAAGTGTCTTCCCCAGCATGGCAAGATGTGGCAACAAAAAGAAAACCATCCCAAAAAAGAAACTTGAAAGCCTCCAACCACACCCAGCCATTTTGATGTATGCCCAGCCTGGCAGCGGGAGGGTGGTGGTAGCGAGGCCGCTTGGGTCTTTCCGCTTCCTGGCAGTCTGTGAATGGCGCCACGGCCGATTGCAGAGACGAGAAAACCGGGGGATCCCTGGTCCTAGCTGCACTAGCATCTTGCATTTCCACTACCATAGATCCGGGCGAGTGCAATGCGCGAAACAAATAATCACCCTTGGAGACTTCATCGGTCGCTCCTAAACCGCATGGAACGCAAACCTCGAACTCTAGTCAGGGTCTTGAGCCTTGCCCCTGCCGGGTGGATTTCGCGACCGATGTCTATCTGCGTGCACGACGGTTTCGACCAACCTCGAAAGTGGTCCATTCGAACACGCGGGGTCAGTTGTGTGCAGAGCAGGGGGGGACTGTTAGTGAAGGCGCCCCAGCCCTGCACTTGATTCTGGAGTTGCTGAGACCCTGCAAAAAAGTAATCGGCCGCAAGGCCGCATGCGAAAGGTTCCCACTTTGGGTTGTTACGTGGGACCCAACCAATTGCCGTTTGTTGGAAGCCCTTGGGCAGCTCCCCTGACAGCAACTGCGACAATCACCTGCATCGTGTCACGTCCAACGAACTTCAACGTCCCAAATCCATGGCCTTTTCGGGTTGAGCTTCTTTGTCCTTCTCTGCGTAGCGGGATGTGACACACCTGAAGTCGAACAAGCGCGCCATCGAATCTTACGCATATCCTGAACAGCCTGGTTCCATTAATACAATGTCCTTTCAACTCGAATCAAGGTATCCAGTTGGTTTTCGACAGTCTCTAGCGGCCTTCTTCCGTTTGGTGTCCGTAGGTGGTAGACCTTCAAGTGACCGTGGCACGTTTGACACATTCGGACAGGCTTCCATGCAAAAATACATGGCTGATGTGTTGGCGGCCGTAGCAGTGTAATCTGGCTGGCAACATAGCACACCTGCTTTTGCAAGTAGCAATGCTATTCAGGCAGACGCCTTTCGGAGGCCTTACAGCCGGAATCCAGATTCGGTGCGGCAGCAATGCACGGCTTTCCAGAAGGACGAAGAGGACTACACCGGACAGGTGACCTCAACAGGCAAGGGCAGACTTGGGCAGGAGCGCTGCGCTTGGGGTGGCTGACAGGCGAAAATCGCCACGGATGTGGAGCCAGCAATGGCGACCGCGGGCATGCTCGGGTCAAGGCGTGGTGTGGTGATAAGTGTCACAGATATCAAAGCATCTATGTGGGTGTGACTGTCTTTTTTCAGGGGACTCCCCAAAAACGGTGGTTCTCCTTTTCGATTCCAAATTCAAGCCACGAAAAAGGGGTCCTGCAAGCTTACATGTTCTGAGTCTCGTAAAGTGACATCCTCCAAACAGATCGATCGTTCGGGAACTTGAGGACAAAAACAAGCGCTGATGGACATTGCCTCAGCAGAACGCCCCTACAGCGCAGAAGGACGGTCAAGGAAGAACCCTAAAAACCAACTATCTTAACGGTGGTTTAAGGGGAATTGCGACTCTTCCTGTAAACTGGAGCCGGGTAATTGTGGCAACAAAAAGAAAACCATCCCAAAAAGAAACTTGAAAGCCTCCAACCACATCCAGCCATTTTGATGTATGCCCAGCCTGGCAGCGGGAGGGTGGTGGTAACGAGGCCGCTTGGGTCTTTCCGCTTCCTGGAAGTCTGTGAATGGCGCCACGGCCGATTGCAGAGACAAGAAAACCAGGGGATCCCTGGTTCTAGTTGCACTGGCATCTTGCCTTTCCACTTGGATTTGCACTATAGATCCGGGCGAAATGCAATGCGCGAAACAAATAATCACCCTTGGAGACTTCATCGGTCGGTCCTAAACCGCATGGAACGTGAACCTCGAACTCTAGTCAGGGCCTTAAGCCTTGCCCCTGCCCGGTGGATCTTCGTAACCGCTGTCTATGTGCATGCCGAAACGTTCTAACGGTGGGCGGCGGCTTCCAACCACGAAAGTGGTCCAATCGAACATGGGGGGAGAGTTGTGCGCAGAACAGGGCGGGGGGAGTCTGAGGCGCTGCTGGCGGCTGCAATGAGAGAATGTTGCCCCAGGATTAATACACCCGTCCCAGTATTAGGGCGGTGTTCCCTCCAAAAGTGATGAATCCCCACTAAAAGGAGACACCCCCCTATTCATCAACCAGGGGTTTATTAATCCGGGGTTGACATTATGTACCATATGTGAAGCAAGGCGAAGTTGCTCAGACCCTGCAAGGAAGTAAACGGTCGTCAAGGTCGCATCAGCATGTCTTGCCCTGAGACTTGACTGGATCGCATGGTTGACAACAGCCTTCTCACAAATGCAAACACTCCCAAAGACAAAGTTCTGAATATCCTGGCTGCCAACCTGCTGAAACTGTCAGTTTAGTGTGAATGCAGCTTGCGTGTTGGCGATTGAGACTTGGCGTGATGTTACTCTTTGCAGCAGTGCAAATGATAACATCCGTGCGGACACACGCAAGCCTTACGCTCAGTGGATATGCACAACTCTCCAGACTTGAAATCGTGAGCTGTCTTCAGCCGACATTGCCAGCTCTCGACATCGCCTTTCAGAACAGGTTTTAATAGCCTGTCTTGACTTTCTTGATTGCAGGGCATGAATGGGGTTCAGTGGCAAATAGGAACAATCCATGACCCAAGAGCTCTGTTTCAAGCCCCACCCTTCCCCCCCCCGCCTCTTCAACCGCTTGACAGCCATGCTTCGGCCACTACAAGGAGAACTCCATTGAAAAGCTTCCGGGGCTCCCGCTACAAGTTGAACTTGTGGTTTAAATGGAAACCCCCACTAAACCCTACACAGCCAAAAAGCTAAGGGGATGGCTGGGAGCCACCAAGCTTTCTCAGGCTAAAATCCTGCACTGCGGGACTTGCTCTGTGCAAGTGTGATGCCATGCTTTCAATTGACTGCCAAAGCCATGTTAAAACATACCCAAGGCAAACTAAGTGCTCGACCCTCGTACAATTTGGTGAATTTGTCATTTGGCCATGGGTCAAAAGCCAAATCGTACCCCCAGTGAACATCCGATTCAATCCCCGCTAAAATAGACTAAAATGGGTGGTGCACCTACCCTAAGATGGTACCATTGGTTTCGACCCACAGCCATTTCCTGTCTTAAGACGTTGGGTCCGCGGGCCCCTCGATAGAGGTAGCGGCTGCGTCTGGTCGCATGGTAGGCAGCATCCAAGCAACATATCCGTCACAGTCTCCAAGTTGTTGTCTTGCAGCAGTCACAAACATGTTCAGCCGTGTTCAGTCTTCTTCGGGCTTTGACCCATGCAAAAACGAGAAAACAACCACGACGAAAGGTAGAAAAGAGCAGCGGAAAGTGCAATAACACTTGACTTGGCACCACTAAAACATTTTGTTTGGGTCAGTCCTTGTGGAAGACGTGCCTGGAAGCCGGCCACGTCCACTTGGAAGTCTTTGTAGATCTGGCCAAGGAACTGATTTAGCCACTTGGCTTGCCACAACTCTTGTCCCCTCACAGGAACTTTTTCGAGATTCTGCGGCTTGAATGGGCCAGGGTCGCACAAGTACCAGGAAATCATAGGGATTGGCTCTCGCACAAACTCTCAGCGGTTCCAGACGTTTTTGAGCCATGTCATTGATGACATGCTTGCTCGTCCATCACATCTCATCTCTTGGTGAGGAACCCCCGAATCAGAACTTCAGGGCCATCCATGGCAGTCGATGGAACATGCACTAAGGCCACTGCATTCATAAACTTCCCTGGGAGCTTAGGCCCTTTACAATGGAGTGGCAATCAAATGGACTTAAATATTTCTACCCAAAGCCAAAGAAGCATAACATCCGCACCAATTTCTGATTAGGATTATTGTCCATATCCATCTACCCAGATCTGATGTTGGCTCAGTGCTCAGGCATCTGAACAAGCGCTCGCGGCCATTTTCAGTCATACACACCCCTCTTGAAAACACAAATCTGGGACAGGTCGCAAATATTTTAGCCGGCAACCGGCTCCGGTTCGTTCACTGCAAATTGGCCTGCAGGGAATGTAAGTGTTGTCTCGCCAGAAAAAGGAACCTGTTGCCTTCTTTTGGGGAGCCTAGCTGTCTCAGCTTGGAAGAGAGGGATGGTAACCAGTTTCTGAGTAATTCGCGGGGTGCGGTGGGTTTAGTGGGAATCAAACCGCTTTTGGAGGGGAACACCCCCTACCAATAAACTGCTTAGATGGTCTGGGACTTAGCTAAATGGGTAGCAACCCTAGTTGCAGGGGACTTACAACCATTGTGAGTGGGTTGTGACCAGGGCTACTAGTCATGTAGCTAACTCCCAGACCATACCAGTGGGGTTGACTAATATGGGCTCAACCCTAATGGGGATCAACTGCCTCGGGAGGCGGCCCGAGTGGAATGAGCTTCTCCGCGCCTTCAGGAACATGTGGGACAAGTTGCCCGGCACCGGCTTCAGGTGGTCCGGGATTTGCTGGCGTGGAAGCGCGAGCAAACACAGGCACATGGGTGACCTGTTGGAAAAATAGTTGGGTTCGAAGAGTAAATGGCTTCAACCCATTTCAAAGCCAGAACCCATCTATCTTTAACCAAATTAACCTACAGATGCCTATGACAACAACAAACCGCTGCGACACTTCGGTGGAGTCAGTGCCGAGTTCACTGACCGCCCCAGCTCGGCGCTGTGCGGAGCTTGGAACGCTGAGCGAGTCCCCTGCAAGTCCCAAAACAGACTGCACGAAAACGGAGTATGGTGTCCTGTGGCGTAGGTGATAACGCGGGACATATGTATATATATATATATATATATATGTTATACATATGTGTATATGTGTATATGTGCATGTGTATATATATATATATATTATGTGCAACATATATATATATATATATATTACATACATACATTACTATTTTCTTTTCCAGGGTGGTGCCCTGGCTTTCGGCAAATGAAGGCACTTTGCAATGGTTGCCCTCGCCTGCAGCCACGGGCTCTGCGGCACATGGTTGTCCTCAGCACCCGCGCGGTGACTTTTTTGAGCGCCACGTGGATTCATGGAAACCAGCAGGGATTCCTGGAGGGAGCTGGCCAAACAAAGGGTTGGTGGAGGAAAACAGCTGATTTTGAGGGTGTTTTGGGACAATGTCCTGTAAATGTTCGGGTAACCAAACCCTTTGAAAACAGCCGAACCAAGGATGTTCCGTAGAACTTCCGGTGGCCGGTTGCTTAGATTGAGTCCTGTAGTGGGGACATGTCACAAGTCACAAAGCCTGTGGCTAGAAACCGCGCTGGCCCAAAGGGGGTTGCTCCGAACATAAGAGTCCGCAAGTGGAGAGCTCCTGAGGAATGTCTTCTCTGGTTATGTTGACCCCGGATTAACAAACCCCTGTTTATTTATATGTTTATATGGGGTGTTCCAGGCCAAATGTGACGAATCCACACTAAAACCAGGGACACCCCCAGATCAACAAAAAGGGGATTATTAATCTCGGGTCAACCGTTTGCATCATCTCCTTCATCCTTCACATCTTGCTAACATGAGCTGTGCATGTGCGCCCATCCTCTTTCTGACACCGGGCGCTGGTTTTCAGCCTCATTTTCCTACCTGAAAGGCGGGTGAACGAAAGATAGCCAGCCCAACAACGACATGTACGACTCAGGGGTTGCCAAGATACCAAGAAAAGCAATTCTAAGTGAACATCCAGTATTGTGGGAAGCTCTGCCCCTCAAGTTGTTGAAGCTTGGAGAACCTCCGCTAGCACAGCTAGCCTTCGTGATGAACCAACAGTGCACAAAAAATGTGAGTTGCTACAATGTGAACGACGGGTGTTCCCCTGGAAGTTTTCTGGACGAGCAAAGCTTGTGGTTGCGCTCTGTGGGCGGATATGAGCCAGGGCCCAGAATGACTCTTGCATGTTTGCAGCTGACTTCTGCAAGGTAAGCCATGATAGCGAATAAGTGCACGTCAATATCGTAAGATCATCGCAACGCTTTCACCTCGTGCATGGGTGCGGCCATCGGCTAGCATATTTCAACAAACAATCTAGGCATGGCCTGTTGATCACTATAGGTTTTAGCCAATATTCCAAATCACTGGCGGGAAAAGCTGTGGGCTGTAAACAAAGCCCGAGCTTACAGGGAACGAATCATCCAGTGGCAACGCATCAAGCCGTGCCGAGAGATCCGAGCTCGAATATCTGGCTAGTGAGCCTGAAGCAGGTGAACACTTTGTAAGCTGGGCACGCGCGTCACCGTGAGCTCACCATGAGGCAAATGTGTGGCGGGGACACAAACAAATGTGCTCTGAGCTCTTTGCCGCTTTTCGTGCCCTTACCTAGTTCCTAGGGATAAATGAACATGCGGATTCCCCTGGGGGGCGTGACCATGGGGGTCGGCCCCCAAAACTGGCTTCGTTTCTTTTCCTTTGGTGTCCATTCAACCAAGTTGAGAGGGCCACTGAATTAAACGAACACCATCCGCCACAACTACCCGGTGTCGGTTAAGTTTAAACATCTCGAAAAAACAAAACAAAAAACCACACGCCCCAACATCCTCAGTTTGCAGAAGCCCGCCGCAGCTTCCCTAAGTCCAGAGCTGCAATCAAAGTTGTTCCGAGGGTCGCACATGTCCATCCTCCAGAATTGAACAACCAGAACACCATGAAAAAGCACAACTGCTATATTGGCAGCAATGAGGAAAACGCCCTTTTTCACTTCAAGCAGTGGGCACAACAAGCAAGCCGCACCCCACTGGCTGCAGCCTTTGCCCCAAGTTCGTCCGGGCCCGCGGCGCAGAACATGGTGTGGGGGTACCGGGCCTCGCAGGTCGCTGGCGCCGGGGCGGGGCCCCAATGACCACTGGCGTCATGGCTTGTTTTTGGTATCTCTTGTTTTGGTGGACGCAAACAAACAAACAAGCAAACAAAGCAGGCAAGAAAGCAAGCAAGCAAGCAATCAAGCAATCAAGCAAGCAAAAGACCAACCAAACAAACAATCACACAATCAAACAAATTAAAGGACCGGATAACCCCACATGCTATGTTTTTCGCAAGGATGTGAGTTCAAATGTCCACACACATGTACCGCGCGCCCCTTGTATGGATGCGATTACAGAGCACCCAGATGCACAGAATGCAGCGCCTGCCACGACTTCGGCAACGGCATCGCCAAAGTGCTCACGACTTCGGCAACGGCATCGCCAAAGTGCTGCGCCTGCCACGATTTCGCAACGGCATCGCCAAAGTGCTGCGCCTGCCACGATTTCGCACACCCCCGCCGCGCGCGCGCGCAAACATCCTAGCCGACTTCGGCAACGGCATCCGCAAAGTGCTGCGCCTGCCACGATTCGCACACCCCCCGCCGCGCGCGCGACAACATCCTGTCCCTCTAGACAGCTGCCGAATGCGACCCCTGCCACACAAACACACACCCAGATGCACAGAATGCTGCGCCTGCCACGACTTCGGCAACGGCATCGCCAAAGTGCTGCGCCTGCCACGATTTCGCAACGGCATCGCCAAAGTGCTGCGCCTGCCACGATTTCGCACACCCCCCGCCGCGCGCGCGACAACATCCTGTCCCTCTAGACAGCTGCCGAATGCGACCCCTGCCACACAAACACACACCCAGATGCACAGAATGCTGCGCCTGCCACGACTTCGGCAACGGCATCGCCAAAGTGCTGCGCCTGCCACGATTTCGCAACGGCATCGCCAAAGTGCTGCG